GGGGTGGTGGTGGTGGTGGTATTGCGGGTCACGTTGACAGTGATGAAAACTTGAAGTGAGATTATGTGACAAAGAAAATAAGAAAGCTACTTATAATTAACGAGATAAATGATGATGGATAAATGATATTAACGACAAAATGAAGAATAATAATGTTATCTATAAACAAAAACATACCTTTGCCAGTTTTACTTCGAAGTCATATATTGCCTCCATTTTAGCGTAAGACGCATTAAACATTTGGCTCACAGCTTTCATGTAGTTTTTGTATTCTTTGCGTTTCTGGCAAACAGTAAAAAATATTCTAGTCACAAACTGGACATAGAATGAGATTGTTTCTAGTAGTTCCATCTACCGTCTTCATCTATTCAAACGTTTAGCCCCGACATATAGCTAACAGAGAGTTTACATACTGAACAGGAAACTCAGCCGAAACCTAACATCATTGAAGACATGAATCATTGAAATGTTTTATCTTGATACGAGAATCTGATCGAACCAGCCAGCGTTGGTTAACCAAGTTACTGCAATTTTTTTAAACATGCAGGCTCGCTGTCTCCGAATTTTTTTTTTTTCGCTGCCGCCAGTCAAAAATGATATGAAAGGTATACCGACTGATTAGGTTTGATTGACGGCAGCCGCGAAAACTCAAATTTCAGCGTGCCGCTCGCAGACACAGAGTTTGCATGTTCATGAAAATTGCAGTAACGTAGAACATATTCACTGACTATTAATTCTGAAGAGTGATTTTTTCACCTTTTCACTGTTGTCGTCAAGATCCAAATAGTCTCTTTTGTTAAGTCCTAAGGCCGACTCTTTTAACTGAAAAAACGTAATCCAAGGAAACGAGTTGATTCAGTTAATTGATTTATTTTGCAACAAGAGAAAGAAATCATGCAGTAAAAAAAGAAATGAAGAAGGGAAGAATCAAAGAAGGAAAGCTAAAAGTTGGAAAAGAAACATAAGAGAAAAATACAAAAGGAAAGAAGTAAGAAAAGAAGAAAGGAAGGAAAAAGGAAAAAAACAGGAAGGAAGGAAGAGAGAAGAAAGAAAGGAAGAGACGAACGAACTTAATACGTACCATTAGCACATTCATATCAGAATCGAACGGATTAGGTTGCACATCCAAGCCAAACAAAGAGTCAATATTCAGTCCACGTGCAGCTCTGCCAATTCGTTGAGCTACGGTAACATCTGGGTTGTAGTTCTGTGAAATGCTCCATCCACCATATTCTTCGATCAAATCTTTGAGAGGCTGTAATCCTAGGACATCTATTGCGGTGGTGTTCATACAAGAGTCGTACACACGTACCATTTTCATCACAGCGTCGTTCTAAAACAATAAATTACTGTCTTACAACTCAACGTACGTTCCTAAAGTTGGGAAAGGGAAAAACCCGAGGTACTGAGGTACTGAATACACGAACTGATAAAGAGAATAAAGATAATTGTRTAAAATTGCGTAAAGTCATCCTGAAGTGCATACAAGGCTAGACGGGACTGAAAAATTYAATTATTGCAGAAGATATGGCTCCCACCGGTTCATTTTGCTATTCTTAAAACATTAGTATTTAAAACCGATGCGTCGCTGTTAAATAATTTTGACTATTGAATTTGAATATACCCTTCTAATAGGACATTATTTCCAAGTTGATGAAAAATACCGCTACTTTTATTTTTCTGGGGTTGGGGAGGGGAGTTGGCTGCCAAGCCTTTTTATCTCAAAAATTTGTTTTTAGCCAGTACAGGTGTATGTAATATTAATACTTTAGATATTGTGCCAAAATACCCATTCTGACTTACTTTCGTAGCCCCTTTTGCACCACAGACCCCCGTCAACAAAAAATACAGAGTGGTAATGGTTTTAAGTAAATAGTTAGTTTCCAAACTATTGGCCAGTCCCCTTTTGTGTTGCTAGACTTAAATTAATTGCTGCCTCAAAATCCGCAAAGCTTTCCCCTAACCCAGAACGAACCTAGAAATTATGAATGGTTCCTTAATTATGATTAAATAACATAAAGGTATTAATTATATCATACCTTTGAATAAATCAGATCAGCCCATTTCAAAGCTGTTTTGATGAAGTGGGCGTTTTTGTCCCTCATGACGTCCATCGTTGTTTGTCTCATTGTGTACTTCAAGGGATGTCTGCTTTTCCAACCACCACACGCATAGGCATGGAAGTCTTCGCAGGGATCGACGCTCTTATTCATGTTTCGTACCATTTCTGTTTTTTATTCAAATAAAAAAAACCCACTAAGACATGGATTGCATTGTTGTAAATAGAGATTTGAATTATGCATAAATAAAGTTTTTCATTTTAGAAATTAATACATA